TCATAGGCCCATCATGGATCATAGGCCCATCATGGATCATAGGCCCACCATGGATCATAGGCTCACCACGGATCACAGGCTCACCATGGATCATGGACCCACAGCTGAACAAAAGACAAGCATGGAGGAAAAAAATAGCAGCAAACTGGGTGTAGAGCCACAGACTTGTGATTCCAGTATTCAGCAGGTGGAGGCAGAGACCCACATGTTCAAGGTTAGCCTGAGTTACATGAGACTCTTTTTAAAAGGGAGAAAAAGAAGGGAGGGAAGGGGAGGAAGAAAAAAGGAAGGAAGGAAGGCCATAGTACAGGAGCTAAAATGGCAGAGGAGGTGTCGGTGGCAGTGACACTTGATCATGCGGCCACAAACGCATTAAAGGTAACAGGGGGTGGGCAGCCTGGGCACTGAAGGTAACAGGGGTGGGCAGCCTGGGCACTGAAGGCAGGAAAAGCATTCAAAGAAGACGGAACCACAGGGGCAGGAGTTTGAGTATGTAAAAGGAAATGGTGGGTTGGGGTTCTGAGCGGCTTTGGTGTGACTCGACTGTGACAGTGGCTAGAGGGGGAGTAGGAGCCTTCCTAGCACCTGTCAGGTCTTCCCTTGACCCCAGACGAGATAGGCTGTTTCCATATGATTCCCTCCCTATCTTTAGTCTGGATCTCTATTAAGAATATAGCGCCGGGCGGTGGTGGCTCACGCCTTTAATCCCAGCACTTGGGAGGCAGAGGCAGGCGGATTTCTGAGTTCGAGGCCAGCCTGGTCTACAGAGTGAGTTCCAGGACAGCCAGGGCTACACAGAGAAACTCTGTCTCGAAAAACAAACAAAACAAAACAAAATTGCCACGCAGCCCTAAAAGCCTGACTTTGAGCTCCAGAACCCAAGTAAAAAGCCAGATGCAGCGGCCTGCGTCTATTATCTTGCACTCCCGTGGGGAGATGGGCTTCAGAGACAGGGAGAGGAGCTGGAAGGCTGTATGCCAACCAGCCTGGAGCACACAGAACAGAAATGAGACACTCCATCTTAGAGACAAGGTAGAAGGAAAGAACCAGCTCTTGGAAGAGTCCTCTGGCCTCCACAGGTGTGGGTGGCGCGCTGCCGGCGTGTGTACCCCGGGCACACACACTTGTTACAACAGCGCTCCCGCTACACAGCACGCCTCCCATGCATCTGGCACTGTGAGGTAGCATCACCTCACACACCTGTCACAGGAACACCTTCAGTCTGCAGGTAGGACAAGCTCAGGGGACATGAGTCTCCCTGACTGGAGCATATAGCTAGGGCTTGGAGAGACAAGAGTTGCAGATGAGTCCACCTGTCTCAGAGGTGACCATTTCCGGTCTCAATGCAGAGCTTACCCAGAAAGTGCCTAAACTTTGAGTAGGGGAAGGAAAGCCCTACCCATTGGCTCACCTGTACCAGGGATGCTGCAGGGCTCAGGGACCCCTGGGGGCAGGACACTGATTCACTGGACAGAGATGTCCAAGGTTTCCTCTTCACTACTAGCACGAGTAGGGAGACAGAAGGACAAAATGACCGGGTCAGATCTAAGGGCTTGGAAGGAGTGGTAAGGTGAAGGAGGCATGCAAGTACTGGAGGATGCAGGGCTGCCCTTACGGGGGTCTGTTTCTCCAGGGAGACTATCACTGCCCGTGGACACTGAGTGCCGAAATGCCTCTGAGAAGCTGTGGGGCCGCTGCGGTCCAGAGCTGCGGGCACCTCTGCTCTTCTGTTCCTGAGCCTGTCAGGGGACAGGGCAGAAGGGCTGGGACCAGGAAGCTCATGCCTTGGAAACTCAGCCTCTAGCAAGGAGTACTGAGGTCCGGGTGTCAGAGGGATAAGTCAGCTGCCTCAGCAGCCAAACAATCAACAGAAGAAGCCTGTGATTGGATCAACGACTACAGGGAGTTTTGTAATTGGCTCCAGAGGACTCACCCGGGTCCCATCCCTGGTGCTGGGCCTTCCCTCCGTAGGGCCCACGTGTACCAGGTGGTTGAAGTTGGTGGGCGGTGAGATGAACTTGGAGCGCACAAAAGGGTCCTTCAGCATCTCCCTGGAGGCAGAGGGGGTGTAAGGAACAGGACAGCAAACCCCGCCCCGCCCCCAGGAGTAGACAGTCCCGCCTAGCAGCCACAGCCACACCACAGGTGAGCACCTGCGCTGCTGCTGTCGCAGCTCGTCAGACACCCGGAAGAAGAAGCGGCGCTTGCTCTTGGTGCGGAACAGCTGGCGCCGGCTGTTGTCCGTGAGGTCAGGAATGTCAAACTCGTCCTTCTCTGTGGAAAATCAGGATGCGGGGGAGGTGCTCACATGTCCCAGCCGGCTGGTGCGCAAGCTCACACTTGTGCATAGGTGAACACACACAGATGTAGGCAGGCATACACTCCCTCACCTGCCAATGGATTCCTGAGGTAGGTCAGGCGGACCTTCTCGGTGCCATAGAGGAACAAGGAGCCCTCTGGATTCAGGGGTCTTACCTGAGGCAGAAAACACAGAGGTCAGGTCATCCCCCCAACCTCCACCCCCACCCCCACACTGCACCCGACCGGTGTTCTGGGTTGACCTTCACCTTCTTGAGTGGCACAGTCTGTACCCATTCTGCTCTCCTCACGTCAAACACATCAATGGAGTTTTCACTGAACACTGTTAGGTAGGGCGCTGTGTAACCTGTAGGTGGGAAACAGCCTGTACTGTGTAGCCCCGGGCAGCCCAGGTCCCTCTCTGAGCCTGTTTCCTCTGTCCCACAGGGAGGCCTGCCTCGCCCAGCTCCATAACAGATGAGATAATAGCCAGCCCTCACTACATGCCCACACAGTTGCAAATGCTTGGCATGTTTGTCTTCTCTTAACTCTCCGGCAGCTCCAGGTAGGAGCAGGTACTATAATCACCCTGATCTCGGACATTAGGTGAGGTAATGGAAATCTCAGAGCAAAGTAATGGTCACGGTTATACGGCTGGTGAGGGACAGGAGACATGGCCAGTGGCAGGCTGGGTTACACAGAACCCTGGGCGTCACCAGAGTTGAGCCTCTGCTCATAAAGCACACTGTCCCCTTCCTTCCTCCAGCCCATCATACCTCGACAAGTGACCACACCAACCCATGCCTCTCCTCCGCTCATTTGTTCATCCTCAACAAGCACAGCCCCCAGGGTGTGCCTGCCCAGGCTGGCTGGCTGAAGGAGCCAACCCTAGCCTGTTCTACAGGCCCCAGAACACAAATGCAGTCACAAAGTGGATGACGAGACCCAAAACAGAGGTCTGAACCAAGAGGTTGCAAAGCATGAGGACTCAGAGGGCAGTAGTGGGGGAGTGAGGGAATCAGAGGCAGCACTGGAGCTGCCACTCAAATTGGCCAGGTAGAGAAAGGAGTGAGGAAGGAGGCCCTAGGCAAGCTACTCAGGACACAGTATAGTCCCAGGACTCCCAGTGCCTGACCCCACCCTGCCAGGCCCTCTACCAGCCTTACCCCAGCCAGTGGGTGCCGCTGGCCACAGTAGCTCGTGGCTTCGTGACTTGCGGCCCGCGCCATCCACATAGACACCAGCAGTGGCGAAGAGCAACAGGAGCTCGCTGAGGCTGAGCTCCACGGCACCCAGCGCCTCGCCCAGGCCCCCACGGGACGCTGGCAGCTCCTCAGCCACCAGGCCAGTTCCCAGGGCTAAGGGTGCAGCCTCATTGAGCAGTGGGTAGAGAGCGAAGGTGCCTGCGGCACCCACACAGAGCCGATCACCCAGCAACCCCAGGCTCTGCACAGGAGCTGGTGCTTGCAGCTCTCGGATGCGGCGCTGCCAGGGCCCTGGTCCTGGGCCCAGCTGGTAACAGAGAACCTGGCGTTTGACTGCCACACAGAGCACTGGAGTCCGGGCCTGCAGGATGCGGCCGGCTACCAAAACCTGACAGCCTCGGGATTCAGGGATCTTGGCACCTGCCACCTCAGCGTTCTCCAGTTCAGCCAGGGCGAAGAGGCGCACACTGGGACCACGGCCACAGAGCACGACCAGCAGGCCAGCGGGAGAGCTCACAGTCATCCGCTGCACCCGGCGGAGGTCTCCCACCTGAAAGATGTCTGTGGTGTTGGCAGGAGAGAGGAGCATGTGGGTAAGAAAGAGCAACTGCCTGTGGTGCCCAGGCCCACACTCACCCAGGCCAAGCCCTCTGGTACCATTGGTGTGAAGATGGATCACAAACAACCCCTCCTCAGTGCCCAGGGCAAGACGCTCTTGGTCTGATAGAGGAAGAGAGGTCAGAGGTCAGAGACACCTGTTCTGTGACACCTGTCCTTACAGGTCTTCAGTTTCTCTTGAGGCAATAGGATTGGTGACCCACACACTGCTGACACACCACATCCTTAGGTTCTCCTTGCTCACAGTTTACACTGGCTCTAATGAGGAAGAGCTTGGTGACTGGGGCCAGGGTTGAAGGCCACTACCTTGAGCTGTGGGATTCTGGGTAAGCCTCCCTCTCTCCATATACAAACCTCTATGTCTTTGTCCTAACTGACCCAGGAGACCCACAGTCTCTGTTGTGACCCCTAACTGGAGCACCTGCAAGCTGGAGTTGGCTCAGGGCCTCAGGTGTAGGAGGAAGCCAGGGAGCTCTGCTTCCTGCCCCTTCCCTAGCTGTCAGTTATGGAGGGAGAGCCCTCACTGAGGCTCAGGCTCCAAACTCAGTGAACCCCAGACAGCTCTGCACCTACCTCCTTGCTCACACAGCTGCCAAGAAGACAGTCATCCTAGCCTCATTTGTCTTTCTGTGGAGAGAGTGTCTTACTCCATAATCCAGGCTGGCCTACAACCCACTATGTAGCTAGCCGGAGCTGGCATGAGTCTGAGGTAATCTTCCTGTTTGGTTGTTGGTATTGTTTGACTGAAGCAGGATCTTCTATATTATAAAGTTCAGGCTGTGCTTGACTTGCTACGTGGATGAGGCTGGCTTTGAACTCTCATCCTTCTGTAGCCCCCTCCCCAGTGCTGGATTTACAGGTGTGTGTGGCACGCTCCCAAGTCCAACTTGTTTGTGTATGTGTGTACAATTTTTTTCATAGAATTATTTGATGTGTCTGAGTGCTTTGCTCAGTGGTGCCAATAGAGCACAGAAGAATGTTCTAGTGGGTGCTGGGAATTGAGCCCAGGTCCTCTAGAGTAGTAGCCAGTGTTCTTAACCACTGGGGCTGCCCTCCAACCCAGTTTTTTGTTTGTTTGTTTGTTTGTTTGAAGCTACTTACTAGCTGAGGGTGACCTGCGCTCCTGATCCTTCTGCTTCTTCTTGTAAGTGCTGGGAAAACAGGCATGCACCAAGCCATGCCTGGGGGTTGAGGTTTTTGAGACAAGGTCTCCATATGCAGCTCACCTCAGGCTGTCTATATACTCTAAAGCCTTCTGCCTCAGCCTCCCAGGTCACCTCTTTTTCTCCCTAAAACCTCTGTTCCTTCCACTTATTTGAGAGTCTCTTAGAAAAAGGAAAGCCAACTGGGAGTGATGGTGCACACCTTTAGCCCCCGGTACTGTGGAGACAGAGGCAGACAAATCTCCAGGCCAGCCTGGTCTACATAGTGAGTTCCCCGATAGCCAGGACTATATAGAGAGATCCTGTCTCAAAAAAACAAAACAGTGCCGGCAGTGGTGGCCGCACGCCTTTAATCCCAGCACTTGGGAGGCAGAGGCAGGTGAATTTCTGAGTTCGAGGCCAGCCTGGTCTACAGACTGAGTTCCAGGACAGCCAGGGCTACACAGAGAAACCCTGTCTCGAAAAACCAAAAAAAAAAAAAAAAAAAAAAAAAACCAAAACAGCAACAAAAGAGAGAACCAGAGTCCTCAGAAGCCAGGCTGTCTGGCTCAGAGGCTATGTGCCTATCTATGCAAGGTGAAGATGGATCACAAACATCCTCAGGGCCACAGCTGGTGGCTAAGAGAATGGCTATTGCATTTGTGACTAGTCTAGGCCAGTGCCTCCCTACATGCACGCCCCTTAGCCCTTCAGCACACGACTTACCAATGACAGCAGCACAGAGCGTGTGAGGCAGCAGCGGCAGTCCATTGTCATAGGCCTCCTTGAGCGTGTACACTGGTCGGGGCCTCGGACGGGCATCCAGTAGCAGCCGCTGCAGCTCACCCAGCACCTGGAGCCAACGCTCCCGCTCTGCCTCATTCTCTGCCAGCAGCAGCACAGTACATGTGGTTGGTGGTACTGTCAGCTGGGAGGCTGTCACCTGTGGACAGGGAGTCAGGCTGGGGGTTACAGCCAAGAGCCAGCCAGCCATCTGTCCTCCTTTCTTCCTTCACCTACTGATGTTTGTGAGCACCGACTGCCAGCTAGCTGGCTGTAGTGCTCGGCAGGGAGTAAGCCACACAGGGTGTCAGACAAGCAATGGCAATCCCTGAGCCTAGTGATGGGCACTATAATGGGAAAGATAAGCACTGTAGGAATGCAGAATAGAGTCCCTAAAGCAGGCCAAGAGGACAAGGATAACTGCTTAGGGGGCAAGCCCACCATCCAGTGTTAGTGAATCTGGGGACAAGGGACTGGGCCTGGAGGGTGCTGGCAATTCTGTGCAGAGGGATGAGACTGAGGAGTTACACATGAATGCAAGGCTAGAAGGAACAAGGTACGGCCAGAGTAGTTAGGGACTCCAGGGTTGAGGGCTGAGAACATCTGCAGGCTCAAATGCTAGGTGGCCAGAGTATTGTTTGAGAGCCTCCTGAGGGTACTGGGAAGCCATCCAAGGGTTTTTAAACAAAGCAGGAAATAGCCAGATTGCTGTGTGGCAAGCTCATGGTGGCTATGGACAGATAGCATGTGGCAGTGAGGTGATTGACAGAGGGACAGAGTGGGGATACCACAGTAACCAAGACAGGGTCAGCACAGAGAGAGAGATGGCGGCTGGGTCCATCCTGCCCTGAGCGCTCGCTCACCCTGAAGATGCGTGGCAGGTCCTTGGATTGGGCGTGGATGACATCTGGGGCCAAGACAGGGGTGGCTGAGAACTGGGGGTCCCTGGGAGGTACAAAGGACACATGAGATACCGTACCACTCCAGAATGAACTCCTCACTACCCATGACTTGTCTTGGGTCACTGTCTGGGACCCACCTCAGATCCAAGGCCTGCAGGAGGACCCCGCTGGCCAGGCTGCCTCGAGGGTCAGGAGCATCAAACAGCAACAGGCGGGAGTCACTGAGCGCAGCATAAACCCGCTGCCAGCCCCGACGGACACCTGAAGGCCGCGGCACCTAGGGGGAAGACAGGCATGGAGGGCTGAGCAAGTCCTCGGCTCCCATGCCCATCCTCCTCAGCCCTCAGCCATAGCTCACCGACAGGAAGCCCTCATAGGCGGTTCCTGTGCCTGTTTCGGGGTGCACCCCCAGGGCTGTGCGGAGGAGTTCAGGGGGCACAGGGCAAGGTGGGGCTTGTGACGCACAAGTTGAGTGACAGAAGTAGCCACAGGCTGTGGAGAGATGGAGAGTTGGGGAGGGATGAAGCAGGCCAGGCCACCTGGGCCTTCCCAGACAGCTCCCTTGGGGCTACTGCCACCTGACCCGTCACCCACTGCCATCAAGTGAGAAAGGAATAACTAAGTAGGAGAATTTGATAAGAAATGTGGGTGCTGTCAGGTTGAGAACAGCCTGGGTGTGTCAGGGTCATGCCCTGGGCTAGTGTGAGGGGAGAACCTGGGGAGAAGGTTCTTACTGTCACAGCCCAGGCCCTGGCGGCCTAGGCCCAGCATCAGCGAGGTGCAGCGGAGACACTTGGTAGGGGATGGGAAACTCCGGGGACGCAGGGTGTGGGAGCCGGGCTGTGAATAAGTACACACTGTCAACACCCCCCCCAGCACCTCCCAGCATCCTGTACACCACCTCAAAGGGTCAGGTGGCCAAGAGGCTGAGCCAGTCCACAGTGTCAACTCTGAGAGCCTGGGAGGCCATGTCAGAAAACCAGCACCAGCACCACCCTAAACGTGGCCTGATAGGGTCCCGCTAGTGTCCTGGAGGGATTATGGGGAAGGGCTGAATGGCTCAGTATCCCACCATCCTGCCCCTCTGGCCACTGACCTTAGCAGGAGGACCTTCTGCAGGGGTAGTAGTGGCAGTAGGTACCCTGGGGAATACACTCTGCAGAAAATGAATGAGCGAGTGAGGAGGGAATGGGCGGAGAGCCCAGCCCCGACTGAGGACCCGTGCTGGTCCTCACCCCCATGCGCATACTGCGGCGGCCCTCTGGCCTCAGCTCTGCGTCTGCTCCAGACCTTGGGCCCTCTCCTGAATTGCCAGGGTCCTTGGCAGAATCCTTCTGGGGATGAAAAAAGATGGAAGCAAGTCAGGGCCACCATGCTTCTCACCAGGACTCCTCCTTAGCTAGTCCCTCTACCTGGATCTTACCTCTGTGTTCCGGAAGGACAGGAGAGGGATGAGGGAGGTAGAGGGCTTGGCATCTGTAGGCAGAGGGTAAAAGTAACTGAGGTTGTTGCCCTGGGACTCAGGGACCAGGGTGGGTGGGGGCTGGTTCCACCTCAGTAAGATACAGGAGTGTTCACAGGTGGGGTCTCGGGGAGTGTGGCACACAGCAGTGGTCAGTTAAGTGCTGAGTGACAGATAGGTCCTGTGTGGGAGGGACAGATTTCTCTCGTCTAGACACAGCTGCCATGGGAGTCACCTAGTATTCACGAGACTGCAGTTGGGGATTGGCTCCAGGGTAGACACTCACCCCCTGATCCTCGAGCTTGAAGTTCCTCCCGTAGCTCAGCCACCTCCTGCTGCAGGGCTTGGCTTTGCTTCTCAGCCTCCTGCAGGCAGCTGGGGGAAGAGGGCAATGGCTCACCAAAGGCCTCTGAATGAACTCCACTCCTGTAGTATCTACCCATGGCCTCACCGTTCAGCCTGGCGCTGAGCCTCCTGCACCTGTGTCAGCTGCTCCTGCAGACCCTGCTTGGCACGGATCTCAGCTTCCAGTGCTGACTGAAGCTCTAGCCGGGCTGAGGCCTCCATCTTCTGGAGCCTCCGAGCCTTCCACTGGTGGTCCTGGGAGCAACCAAGGATGCCCCTGTAAGATGGTCTCTGGGACTGACAGAGACTCCCTTGTCCTCCTGCTTTCCCACTAAGGCCTTGGCCTCACATACCACCTGGCCAGACTCAAAGACCCGACTTTCCTCACCCCTCAGCATAAACCTGGAGCTTTGGGGAATAACAAGATGGCTCAGAAGCAGAGGTATGCTGCCAAACCCAGCAACTTGAGTTCAATCCCTGGGGCCCCACATGGTAGAAAGAGAGAACTAACTTCCTGTAAGCTGTCTTCTGACCTCAACACATATATGCATATGGACGGCTCATGTGCACAGGGCTCACCAGAGGCCGGGTGGGGAGTGTTTGGGTGCCCACATTTCTTAAAGACTCCAGCTCCTCAGCCATCTTAGTAGCCAAGGCCTGCAGGTAGCCTCGAGAGACCTTCTCATCATTCACCCTGAATAGGAATGGGCTGTGTGTCATGGTCTGGGTCCTCAGCCATGCCCTGGCCCCACCAGGCACCATGTACCTACCAGCTGAGGATGTCAGCAATCTGAGCCTCCCAGTTGCTCTCTGTCTCCCGCCGTTCACCCTCCAAACGCTGCTTGCTCTGTAGCTCCAGCTCCAGCTCCTCTGCCAGCTGAGGCCGCAGAGGTCGGTGGGCTCAGTTCCCAGTGGTTCTCGAAGCCCTGGACATCTACCCGTTGCCCACCCCCTGCTGCTCTCCCCACAGATCACCTACCATCCCGAACCCTGTAGAAACCCGCATGCTACAGTGTGTCCAGCAGCTGGGACCCTGGAGCTCTGCCCCGACCCTGCTGGCACTCAGCCTGTCCCCTGGTCTGTCTACCCTTCTCACCCTTTCCTGCTCCCGGCTCAGCCGCTGGTTTTCCTCCTGCAGTCGGCACAGAACCTCCTCTTTCCCAACACTGAGCCTGGGGAGGAGAAGGCCGAGGAGATGGAGTTGACTCCCAGCCCAGCGCTGCCCTGTCCCCTCCTGGCTGCCCTGACCATGCACTCACCCTTGGCTGCAGGCATGCTCCAGCTGCTCCCTCAGAGCCGCCACTTCCTTTCTCAGCTGGGCCTCTTGAGATTGACCCTCAGGAGATCCTACGCCGTTGGTCTCAGGGGCTGCATGGATGGTCTTGACAGTTTGGAGAGGGGGCAAGGCAGGAGTCAGAGAAGCCTGGGACAAGGGTCTGCTCCTAGGACTCTAAGGGGGAAGTCTAAGTGAGAGTGTCTGCTGCCAAAGGAGAAAAGCTTACACACCTTGGCCTGTGAAGACTCTTGTTTACAGTGTCCCTGGAGCCATGTCACCTCCTGACTCAGGGCGGTCACCTGGCCTTCAAGCTGTAATGGGGCACAGCGACAAGGTAATGACAACCCTGGTCATGTAGAACTCTTCGTGTCACTCTGACAGACTCACAGACACACTCAGCAACAAACACAGGTAGCCCCCGGTACCCATCTCACCACCAGGCCCTGGCCAAGGTAACCAGCCACACGGGGTGTAAAGACACAGGCTCCCAATACTTTGAACTATTTGCTGCTCCCCCTGTCCCTACCATCACCGACCTCTCTCCGGACAACCCAGGCTTCCTCCAGCTGGGAGCTCAGGGCCTGGATCTGGCTGGCTGCGGCTGCCTCTCTCTCCTGGGCTTCCCACAGCCTCTGCAGGAATTCTTCCTGCCGGTTCTGGGCTTGGCACAGTTCAGCATCCCGCACTCGCAATGCAGCCTGAGCTTCAGTCAGCTCCTGAGGACCAAGGTAAGAAGGACAAAGCCAAGTCAGGGCACTGACCTCAGGGACACAGAACTCTAGGCCACACACTCACTCATCTAGTGCTCACCTGCTGGAGGCGGTCCTTCTCCTGCTGTAGTTGGACGTCTGGGGCTGGGCTTCTAGCATGGAGGCCATCAGTCTGTGAGAGGGAGGCCTTGCTGTCCCTCAGTGTCTCTGTCAGAAACAGTCATTGAGACTCGCACACAGAACAACTCCACCTCAGCCAGGCATTCTGTGTTCAGGATCTCAGAGAACTTTCTGCACAGCCAGGGAGAGGGTCTACTTCCCCACAATCACACAGCACACACAGAGCCAGAGGCAGGGCTGGGACCCAGGAAGGACCTAAGCTATTCTAGGAACAGGAAAGTGATACCTGCCAGTTTCTCCTGAAGAACCTGTACTTCTCTCTGCAGCTGCAGCAGCTCCTGGGGTTGTAATGGGCCATGCAGGGCCTCTGGCAGGAGAAAGGCCTCTGAGTGAGTAGCCAGGCCTTCAGCAATCTACCCCTCACCCTGGCCTGACAGTCTCAGCATGGCCCAGCTGCCCCTGTACCTTGACACTTCTGGCTGAGCTCCACACAGTGGAGCTTCCACTCTGGGGTAGCCATTAGCTCAGAGCTCTTCTCATCAATGGGGCTGAGAGGGGACAAAGGAACACAGTTGGCAGAAAACCATCCTCAAGGACCATCTGTCCATTCATCTAAGAAACACCCTGGAACATTGCTCCAGACCCGGGCCCTGGGCTCTATGCTGAGAATAGAACCATTAGATCACACTCTGCCTGTACACATGACATTGGACAGCAATGGGTAATCTGAACTGCAGTTTTCTAACAGGAAAATGGAGGTAAAAACAAGGCTTTGCCTAGCAGTGGTGGCATACACATTTAATCCCAGCACTCCAGAAGCAAAGGCAGGTGAATCTCTAAATTCAAGGTCACAGATCAAGTTCTAGTATAGCCAGAACTACACAGAGAAGTCCTGTCTCAAAAATCCAACCAACCAACCAACCAAACCCACCAAGGCTCATGCAGAGGTTCACCAGGGGCCAGTGAGCTGTATCAGCTGGTTAAGGGTGCCTATTGGCAAGCCTGAGCACCTGATTCCATCCCTGGGACCCACAAGGTAGAAGGAGAGAACTGACTTCTGAAAGTTGTTCTCTGCCCTCTACAAGTGCACTGTGGTGAATCACGTCCATATGCACAGAGGCATATTAAGAAAATAAATAAATTAATGTAAAGAAAGAAATCAACCAAGTTAACAAGGTGAGATGAGCCTGCTGCTCCACATCCAATAGTCATTGGTCCTCAGGATGCCGTGAGAGCATGCGTTTCACCTGTGGCTCTCTTGGGTCTCAGGACAACCCAAGTTGAGAAATGAATGCTCTCACCCACTTTACAGAGGACAATGAGGCCGGACAGGACAGGCTCTCCATAGCCTCTGTTGTGAATCTACTGCATGTAACAGTCTGTCACACAGTATAGCCACATGTCCCAGGGGCATAGCCATCCATGACTTTGGTTGACCCTGAGGACAGAGAACTGAGGAGTGACCATCAAATGCTGAAGCCATTTTGTCCCTTCCCACAGGGCTGTAATGGGCCACACATTCCTACCTTTCCAGCAGGTATTAGGACCAGACTCACCTGCCTGAGGTATAAGTGAAGCCTACAAATGGCAGGTGGTGGCCTGAGAAGGCCCCGTGGGAGGATGGTGGCAGCGTCTCCTACAGAAGTGGAAAGGAGAGTCAGAGCCACAGACCAAGCGAGAACCAGAAGAGGCCCATGAACTGGGCATTTACTGGGGTGTATAACTGGGGAATAACACAGCCCCTATCAAAAGGGACAACAACTCCCATGAGCCTTTGAATTCAAGGTCTCCCAGAGGCTGCAGGGAATTTCCTTCTAGATGTGAACTTTGGTTAATAGGATAACAGCTAAGGTCAAAGGGCTTTCACTTGGTACAATTCACCACACAGGTGAGCCAGCCACGGTAAGCCATAACTCTCATGAGCCTCAGAGGTCCAGAGGCCTCAACCTTTCAACTGCTCTAGAGAACATCTGGGGTAGGTTTCCTTAGCTTAGAGGGTCAAGCCAAGCCTCTTACAGAGACATCTGTCACTCACTGGACGGTTGAGGGCGTCATCATCCACATCGAAGTTGGAGGTATCCATCGGCCCTCGAAGCTCAGGGATGTAGGGAGCTGTGCTGGTCGCCAGTCTCTCCCAGTCAACCCCTTCAAAGAAAGGGTGCTTCCGGAAGTCGTCCAGTCCACCACGGCCCAGCCGCTCCTCCTGACGGCACAGCAGCTGTCGGATCAGGTCCTGGGCACTACTAGGCACATCGGGTACATCAGAGGGGAACTGGAGGTGATCCTGTGGGTAAAGCAGGGTGCAGGTCAGGCTGAAAGCCCAATCGGTCTGAAGTTATCTGCAGTCACACAATGTAGAGGTCCCAGGCCACACAGTCAGACCTCGTGGTTCATGATCTTGCCGTAGGTTTCTACCAGAGATTCTGCATAAAAGGGTGTTTCTCCAAAGAGCAGCTCATAGGCACAGACTCCCAGTGACCACCAGTCACACTGTGGGCCGTAGTGGCCCTTGCCTTCCTCCATGGCCTGTAGGATCTCAGGAGAGATGTAGTCCGGGGTTCCAACTGCGACTGATGAATCCACCTGTGTCAGGGGTGTTGGTGCCATGAGGCCACGGAACTGGAGCCACCACCCTACTCTCCAGGTACCCCCTACCTGGAACCTGATGTCCGTGCCCTTGACCTGTATCCTCAGTTCCAATCCCAGGTGGGCTTCTTACCATGCCATTGTTGTTGAGACGCAGGCAGGAGCCAAAGTCTGCCAGGCGGATGTGGCCATTCATGTCCAGCAGGATGTTGTCAGGCTTGACATCCCTGAAGGGAGGTGAGGAATGAAGGCTTTGATATGTGTGTGTGTGTTCGTACATGAGCCTGTGTGCATGCCTGTACATGCTCCTGTCCTGTGTACATGCTCATACATGTTCCTGTCCTATGTTCATGCTCACACAATCTCCTGTGTGTACATGCTCACACATGTTCCTGTGTATTCATGCTCACACATGTTCCTCCGTGTGTGTACATGCTCATACATGTTTCTGTGTGTGTGCATGTGGGAGTTAGTGAAAGCAACTGTTGATTCTAGGGGCTGCAAAGTACACTACGGGGGATGAAGCAGTCAGATGTCCCCTAAATGGGTAACACACCACTCCTCTGCCACCATGAGTTGGGTGGGTTTGAGCCAGGGGCTTACCTGCTCTGAGCTCTGACTTCCCCAACTGTAAGATAGGTACACCGGCAAGCCCTACCAGAAGGCTTTAGGGAGGAAGATCGGGAAGTGACAGAGCTTGGGGCCCCACCTGTGGACATAGCCCAGCTGGTGGAGTGAGTGGATGGCCAGAACCATCTCAGCCAGATAGAATTGGGCCAGCTCAGGTGGGAGGCGGTCCTCAAAGCGGCTCAGCAGTGTGAGGAGGTCCCCGCCAGCGTAGTAGTCCATCACCAGGTACTGGAGGGCAGCGTGTAAAGCCAAGAGTCAGACTCAGAATGAGGACACCTGTTGACCTCACATTGGTTCTTGGGGGGCTCTGAGAAGGCAGGGCTGAGCAGTGGCCCTGAGGACTCAAGAGTGGCTAGCTCTTTTTTTTTTTTCTTTTTTTCTGGGAGAGAGAGGGTCTTACAATGTAGCTCTGGCTGTCCTGGAAATCATTATGTAGAACAGGCTATCCTTGAACTGAACTCACAGAGATAGACTGCCTCTTCCTCCCCAGTGCTGGGATTAAAAGGTATGTCCCACCACGCCCAAGAGGTGGCCAGCTCTTAAGCAGAGCTAAGGAAGGAGGGTGTAGGGCCAGGATACGGTGGACAAGTGGCCTTTTCCTTTATCCCTGGCAAGGCTCCTCCCAACCCAAAGTGCCTCACCAGGTACTCCTCATCTTGGAAGGCGTAGTGCAGAGCAGTCACCCAGCGGCTGTCTCCCTTCACTAGGACATCTCGCTCCTCCCGGAAACAGGCCGTCTGAAGCAAGTTTGGAGAGCAGGGGTATGATGGGACCAGATCACAGGAACTCCCCCTTTACCAGCTCAGGGAACAGAGAACTCAAGAGCCCAGAGGCTCTGATCAAAGGGACAGCTCTGCTCAACCCCAGGTGAGGCTAGCCTTGGATGAACCTGAGCCCAGGCTTCCTGGTAGTGGGCCTCAGTATTTTCATAAAAAGAATGGGGACAATCCCTTCATCTTAAGTAAAGTTTACTGTGAAGTGTAGGAGACGGGTGACTATTCAGAGTGGCACCTATGCCTCCCCCTTCTTCTGGTAGCATGCACATCTCCCCTGCCCATCTGCAGCATGCACACCTCCCCTGCCCATCTGCAG